TTCACAGCTCTTTCAAACAGCTGCTTTTTACCTACAACTGGAAGATACAGCTGGTTTCCACAGAGACGCAGTAATGTCATATATTCTGTCAGCCCTTCACTGAGAAAGACAACCGTCCACAACTGCTGAGCCAGAGGGTCAGACCTGTAATTTAAAGAAGACTAAGTAACTATGCAAGAAAGTAATACAATATTAGCATTGTGTTATAAAACTGATCTAGAATAAATGTAATTTTCCATACATGACCTTATCATGGGGAGTGAATATGAAAAACATGCCACAGTCTTACCATTCAACATTTTGAAGGCATCCAAACAGTTGTCTCATTCCTAGTTCAGACACCGTCACATCCTGAAGGTTCAGACTTATTTTCCTTCCCTTTGACTGAGTGACCACATAGGCCACAGCACAGCAGGAATAAGGGTCCAGATTCTCTCCACAGAGGTCAAGATGGAAGTCCAGTTTGTCCAGAAAGGAAATACAGTCTTCAGAGCTTTGGGACTCATACAAACATTGGAATAGGAACAGTATGTCAAAATAAAGTTCAGTGTCTTCATCTTTGGAGAAAAATATGTCAATCATCTCTTTGAAGAAACGTTTAGATGTTTCCTGGAGGTCCTCAACTGGAATGAAACAACTCATCAAACTGGGGTTTTCCTCATTCAGCAGATGACACATAAAAGGGATCAGATGCTTCATGTGTTTCTTCTCCTCAGTGAGGCACTGCTGGAAAACCTCCTTGATCTTATCAGGATTCTTCAAAAGCCACAGAGCTGCAAAAAACTCCTGCATGGTGTAATGGAGAAAAGCATACAGGGTTATGGTTTCAGTAGGAGCAACTTTGACATCAAGTGTTTTCAGGAAGGAAAGGACGCAGCCATCTTCACAGGAAAGTTCTTCCAGGTTTACAGTTTTTCTTTCAGTTGCATTAAAAGCAGCTTCAGCCAAAGACAGGATTCCATTTCTCTTCGTTTTGATGCACTGATTGAGATTCTTAATCCTGGATTTGTTGCTGTTCATCTGGAGACCAAATCGAACAATATTGATGTATATTTCAGTGACAGTTCTGGGCTGCAGAGAGTCTTCAGATGAAAAGCTGGCAGCCACCATCAGTGCATACATTGGAACATGACAAAGAGTCAACAGCTCCACGTTACTCAGAACCTTCCTGTGATTTTCACCCAAAACTGAAGACAAATATGTCTTTATTGTTTCCTCACTGAAGCCTTTCACCTCCACTCTGAGCCAGTCTTCAGGACAGAGGTCTTCCTCATCATCTGGTCTGCAGGTAATGATGATTTTAGCATCAGGTAAGAGATCTTTCTCAACAAGTTTCTCCACAACTGATGTAGAGAAATCTGTGACTCCATCTAAAATGACTGTAACATGATCAGAGTGGCTCTTTATGTCCTGTAAGACTTCATCTTTGCCCTCATCTGGTTCACTGCATGCAGTGAAAAGTAGATCCTCCAAACTCATGGTTGGTGGGATGTTGGTTAATTTTCTCATGTCAACGTAAAACATGTAATCCAGCTCCTTGTTGTCTCTTTCTGACCACAGTCTCAATATTTCATGACTCAGAGTCGTCTTTCCAATACCAGGTTTCCCAACCAGGAGGATGTTTTTATCAGTTTTCAGCAGGTCACTAGGGGAGATTTCAGGTTTGTTCTCTGGAATATAAGTCCTTAACTTTTTAGGACGTAACTTCTTGCTTTTATTGTTTTTAATTTTCTTTATTTTGGATGGAGAAATTTTTCCTTG